ACAGGGCCTGGAGCTGAGGTGCCTCTGGCCAGGGACCCCCCTCCCTCCGGCCAGGCCCAGCAGAGAACCCACAGGCCCCCCCCAGGCTCTGCCGGCCCCGCACTGTTCCCTCAGCCTGAGGGGCTGCCCCTTGCCCGTGCCCTCGTCTAGACGTCTCATCTCGTCTCGTCTCAGGGGGGAATCTCTCGGTCTGGGCTGAACAGTCGGAGCCCAACAGGCCTGGGCCGAGTGTCACTGTGGATGTCAGTCACAGCGGGCTGTGCCCTGCGCCGGGTGTTGGGCACTGACCCTGGGACTGACATCGCAGGCAGCTGTAGCCTGTTTTCACCCCATCCCACAGGAGCTCCTGCTCTCATGGGACCCCCCCAGCCCACTACAGCCCCCCACTGAGCAGGGAACAGAGCCAGGGCCGGGAGGGGCCGCAGGCGGAGCAGGCGCCAGACACTCACATGAGAAGGGTCCGAGAGTCCGATCCAGACGGGCCCATTCTGTTCTGGGTGCTGCGTGACATAGTCGGCCAGCATGTTATTTTCTCCGGCGCTGAGAATGGAGACGAGGTGAGTCTCCCGCCCATTGTCCTGGCACTCGCTCTGGGCCAAGAAGGGACAACGCCAGTTACCCCATTTCTGCCCCCCAGGGAGCAGCAGGGGCGAGTCCAGCACAGGCCTGGGGCCCGGCCCCCCCAGACAGCAACTTACCTATCTAGCCCACCTTAACCAACCCTAAGGGTCTGTCTTCACTAGCCACCCTAGTTCTAACTAGGGAGGCTAATGCAGGCATTCGAACTTGCAAATGAAGTCCGGGATTTAAATATCTCGGCTTTATTTGCATGTTCCTGGGCGCCGCCATTTTTAAATGCCCGGTAGCTCGAACTCCCTACCTGTGGCTACACTCAGCAATGAGGAGTAATGCTAGTCCAAATTAGGGGCTTTAGTTTGAACTACCTAGGCTGTGCCACGTGTAGCCACGGGCAGGGAGATCGAACTACCGGGCATTTAAAAATGGTGGCGCCCGGGAACATGCAAATAAAGCCCGGGATATTTAAATCCCAGGCTTCATTTGCAAGTTCGAATGCCTACATTAGCCACTGTAGTTCGAACTAGGGTGGCAGTGTAGACATACCCTTAGTTTGCCTGTTTGAGGATGGCTGCAGCCGTGATCCCCGGCTCGGCCAGGTTGGTGCGGCACAGGGGCACGGCGCTGGGCCCTCGCCCTGGAGGGGGCCAGGAGATGCTGTTGCTCCCTGGCCAGAAGAGCAGCTAGGACAGCGTGCTTTGAGACGCGCTGAGGGCAGGGCCCCCAGCGTAATGCAGTCGGCGGCAGCCCCGCAGGACGTAGGAGGGGCAGAGCCCTGTCACCCGGCGTACATCCCCAGGCCGCTTGAAAAATGTCTGGGGCCCTGGTGTGTGGGGGGCAGGGAGAGACCGGCGTCGGACGGGACTCCGGGAGAAGAGTCTACCCCCGTGCTCGCAGGGGACCCTGGGATTGCCCAGACGGCCCCAAGAGCACCCAAGAAGGGGTAAGGACCCCCGAGGACCCGCAGGGTCCAGCTCCACGGGGTAGGAGAAGGAAGGTGTGGTGTGGTTTTGGTGCCCGTGGGCAGATGGGTTAAGGGGCTAACCCCCATCCGCCGTGCAAGGGGAGCAGCGCGCCCCGCACTTAGGGCCCCGGGCTGGGACCTGGAGGAGAGGGTGGGCCCGGGTCCCCCTTTCCCCAAGTCTCTCCTTGACCACAACGTGACGCCCCCAGGTGGGAGTTAGCCCGCACGCAGGCCAGACGTACAGACCAGAGCCGCGTCCGGACCCCCACGTCAGAGGGAATCACTGAACCCCTTCGGGAGAGGGGAGGGTGATCGCACCAGCAGGGCCGAGCCTGAAGAGACACGGACCCAATAGCAGGACGCCGGCCAGGCGGTGGGTTCGTGGGCCCTCCCCCTCCCCTTTACGGACGGGAAGGGGTGACCGCACCCTGAATACCCGCTGGCCCCGTCACACCACCCTACTTCGAACTAGGGGCTAGTGTAGACATACCGTAAGGGACCTGCTGTGGGGCCCATCAACTCTGTCCTGGACTGGGAATGGGTGACAGGAGGGATCCCGGGATGGTTCCCTGCTCTGTTCCCTCTCTCTGGGGCACCTGGCCCTGGGCACCGTGGGCAGCCAGGATGCTGGGCTGATGGGCCTGTGCTCTGACCCCGTCTCGCCGCTCTTAGGTTCTTACAAACCGAAAACGTGCCCCCGCGGCTCAACGGCCAGCGAGAGGCCCAGCGAGAGGCCGACAGGCAGCCTCGGGGGGGGGCAAGAA